AATTATCATAATTTTTTTTTTAATAAAACTCGTTATACAAAATACAACTAATGTGTTAAGACACACCACATGCAAGTGGAACACCAGAGAGGCATGTGACCACCGTCTTTGAACACTATTCGATGAAGATGTTGGTGTTTTTCAAGCGCGGGTGGCGCTGGTAAGGGTGATGTGGGTGTCTGGTCATCATGTCCGAGTTGTCTAGCAGCTGGTGGAGGTATTTCGGGTTCATGCCTGGGTCTTGGGGCCGCCTGCCTCTCATGCTGTCAGCCTGGCTGATTGGCGTCAGCTTTCCCCTCGTGTCTGACGGCCCCCCGGCCTGCGGAGACGTCATCATCTCCAGCAGGTTGGGTTCCGAGAGTCTGGTCATGAGCTCGTAGAATCTAGCGTGGCTTAGGTGCTGCCGAAGGCGGTATAAGAGGTAAATATCGCCGATCTTGCAGTTGCGTGCGACGCTTTGCACAAGCTGGCGCACTCTATCGTTAGCGTGCGCGGGCTTAGCGGTGCGCAGGATATACACCTGCACACAGGGAACCCACATTAGAACAAGGTAGACAATGTAGCAGCAAGTGACGAAGGTCAGAACGATCAACCACAACCACAGCCCCAGGAACACCTTTTCGTAGAGCTCCATGATGGTGAGGTGGCAACCAAACTTCTCATTGCGCTTATTTACAAGTTTATTGGTCGGAGTGAGCTCGCAGGACGCGAAGGGCGGGAATGTCTGCGACATGTAGTCCGTGAACTTCCACGGATCTCTCTCGAACGGATAAGACATGAAACCGTACTTGATAAATCGCCCTTGGAGGATAAAGTCGACAAAAAATATTGAGAAAATATCCACCATTAACGCCAAGACGTTGACCGAGAGATACTTCCAGTAGAGACCGTCATGAGTCCTGAGGTTGTAGAATATGTACCTGGCAGCCCTCTCCACCAGCTCCCGCTCCGTCAGGTCGTAGCGTGGGGCCTGGCTGGCCAAGTCCTCTATGAGCTTTTTGCACCTCGTGTTGTCCAGTATCTTGGAGGCCTTGCGTGGGATATAATAAACGGCCGCCAGTAGGAGAAAAGACCAGGATACCCAGCGGTAGTAGAGGAGGTAGCGTCGGGTGCCGTTGTCGTCGACGTAGGGGTAGGAGAGGCAGATGTTCATGTAGTCGAGGCGGATCTGCGTCTCTGCGTTGAAGTGGGACACGCAGGTGATAACGGACCGATAGTACCTGCGGGCAGAGCGAGAGGGAGATTAAAGTACACATTAACCATTTGTATTATTCCTCAGAATGATTGATCAGCCCAACCTCTTTCTGGCTCTGCCAATCACTCGGGCTGGACGGTAGTGTGACGGTCTCGACTCATGCAGGTCAGCGTTCAATCCCCGACCGTCCAAGTGATTGGGCACCATTCCCTCCCCTGATCCCATCCCAGATCCCTTCCCAGTGCTATATAGTCGTAATGGCATGACGCTTTCTTCTGCTAGTTCCATTCCCTTCTTCAGAATGAATAAAAAAAAATATCGCTATATTTTTGTTATTCATATTATTAATATATCTATAAAATGGAATGTATGTGTGTCTGATGGTGTAGGCCAAATGTTTGGGGCTAGCCTCACGCAATTGCAGGCGATGAGTCACAATAATGTGGCTAAAGTATGTTGACCAAACCACACACTACAAGATGAAGGGACGATGACGTTTCGGTCCGTCCTGGACCATTCTCAAGTCGATTGTGACAATCGACTTGAGAATGGTCCAGGACGGACCGAAACGTCGTCGTCCCTTCTCCTTCTAGTGTGTGGTCTGGTCAACTCACGCAATTTACCATAGTGTTTTCTCTTATGTTGGATCCTGACCCACCCATAACTGTCCAACATGGGTGGTTCAGGATCGGCCCCAATCACACACACAATGTGGCACAGGGCCATGATGACTCTCACTCTCTCATTTTAGCTCGACACTGAAAGGAAGAAAAATATTCGTTCTATATCATAAAACACTCAACATTGATCTTGCCGAAATAAACAAAAATAGGAAAGTAATATTTTCCGATGATGAAAACGTCTACGGTCATATACATCCATGTTTCACTCTGGACCAGAATTGAATCCCTGAGAATCGGATGGGATGGGTGGTGGGGGGGGGGGGTGTGAATATATAAGAATAATTCTTAAATTGTTCAACTTGGGCCTGCCCTGACCAGCCTGTGTTCATCACGTACCCCAGGCCATTTCACAAGCAAATTTGAGTAAGGCTACAAGCGTCTGGCCTCCGACTTTGGACACATTTTTACACACACACACACACACACACACACACACACACACACACACACACACACACACACACACACACACACACACACACAGTCCCCACCTGAAGAAACACATAAGGAAACTGGAAAAGGCTCAAAAGTTTGCGACGAGGCATGTCCCAGAGTTACGAGGGATGGGATATGAGGAGCCCCTGAAGGAACTAAACCTTACGACACTAGAAAGAAAGAAGAGATAGAGGGGATTTGATATGGACATATAAAATACTCAGGGGAATTGACAAAGTGGAAATAGATGAAATGTTCACAGAAAATAGTAACAGAACGAGTGGACATGGGTGGAAACTGGAAATTCAGATGAGTCACAGATATGTTAGGAAGAACATCTACCTTTAGCGTGAGAGTAGTGGAAAAATAGAATGCACTTAAGGAGCAGGTTGTGGAAGCAAACTCTATTCCTAATTTTAAAACTAGATACGATAGGGAAATGGGACAGGAGTCATTGCTGTAAACAACCAATGGCTGGAAAGGCGGGATCCAAGAGTCAATGCTCGATCCTGCAAGCACAAATAGGTGAGTACACACACACGCGCGCGCGCGCTACATATAGTGTTTGGATGTGCCTCAGTCTCTCTCCCGCTCTCTCTTTCCCCCTCTCCCAATTTATCCCTTCTCTTTCCTCTCTAACCTCTTCCACCTCTCCACTTTTCTCCATCTCCCCTTCCTTCTCCCCCCATTTTTAGCAACAACCCACCTTTGTGAATAAGAATTTTCTACCCTTATGAACTTGAAAACAAAGTATAAAAGTCCGCTGGGCTCCGAAGGCAGCATCCAAGTTGCTATGACGTCACAAAGTCGCGGCGCCGATGTTGTTTTATTAAATATTAAACGACACCATTTTTCCGACACCTGAAGAGGTAATATCTTGAATGAAATGCTTCAGTTCTTTATTCCTTTAATCAATGTGTGTGTGTGTGTGTGTGTGTGTGTGTGTGTGTGTGTGTGTGTGTGTGTGTGTGTGTGTGTGTGTGTGTGTGTGTGCTGTTCCTTCTGCAGCACGTGGGCCTTTTTTAAGGCTTTAATTAATTCTTGACCTGGAGAAAAGCTGAATTCTTCGTTTTAAGAGCAATTAGCAATAGCTAGTTTTTGTTTCATTGAAAGTTTGGGATAATACATATTTAACACGAATGGATTTCTGGGGTGATAGTTCAGCCAGCAAGTGTCCCGAACACTGCTTTAAGGTATTACATCGCTTCATTGTCTCCCTCAGTCTCACACCAGTCTGTTCTACTACAAAGAACCTCGTTTTTCGCTCGTATGCGTGACATACGTTAGCCTTGATACCTGCTTGATGGGGTTCTGGGAGTTCTTCTACTCCCCAAGCTCGGCCCGAGGCCAGGCTTGACTTGTGAGAGCTTGGTCCACCAGGCTGTTGCTTGGAGCGGCCCGCAGGCCCACATACCCATCACAGCCCGGTTGGTCCGGCACTCCTTGAAGAAAACAATCTAGTTTTCTCTTGAAGATGTCAAGAGAAAACTAGATTGTTTTTTTTGGGTCCTCTGGTAGGTTAGGAGATGACAGTTTAAATTAACAGTTTTCATGCCGTTTTGAAACTTTAAGAGAACGTGCTGTTATCCTAACCTAACAGAGGACCCACAACAGAAAACGAAACAGTATGTCAGTTTTGCGCGCCGCTTCCATTTTCCAGTACGACAATTTTTGGTCGTAGAGCGTGTGAGTGAAAAGCGACGTTATTCGTAAGAGGACGGCCAAAAACTTTGACCTGGTTGGGGGAGTAACTTGAGTGAAGTAATGTTATACATTTAACCTTTCCTCGCCAAATTTGACTATTAACTTTGAATTTGTAGTGTTGTATAATTAATGACATAACTCCTAATTTATCATGATCTATATCTTAACTCTGAGGCAGCAGAATATCCTAAAATATTCTGCTGTTATGGTCGTATTGTCACGCTGGTATACCCACACTAGCACGCTGGTGTAGCCACACTAGCACGCTGGTATAGCCACACTAGCACGCTGGTATACCCACACTAGCACGCTGGTGTAGCCACACTAGCACGCTGGTGTAGCCACACTAGCACGCTGGTGTAGCCACACTAGCACGCTGGTGTAGCCACACTAGCACGCTGGTGTAGCCACACTAGCACGCTGGTATAGCCACACTAGCACGCTGGTATAGCCACACTAGCACCCTGGTGTAGCCACACTAGCACGCTGGTGTAGCCACACTAGCACGCTGGTATACCCACACTAGCACGCTGGTATACCCACACTAGCACGCTGGTATAGCCACACTAGGACGCTGGTATACCCACACTAGCACGCTGGTGTAGCCACACTAGCACGCTGGTGTAGCCACACTAGCACGCTGGTATACCCACACTAGCACGCTGGTGTAGCCACACTAGCACGCTGGTATAGCCACACTAGCACGCTGGTGTAGCCACACTAGCACGCTGGTATAGCCACACTAGCACGCTGGTGTAGCCACACTAGCACGCTGGTGTAGCCACACTAGCACGCTGGTATAGCCACACTAGCACGCTGGTATAGCCACACTAGCACGCTGGTGTAGCCACACTAGAACGCTGGTATAGCCACACTAGCACGCTGGTATAGCCACACTAGCACGCTGGTATAGCCACACTAGCACGGCAGTAAGAGGTAAGACCAACATTGGGAAGTCTATCGAGGCGGCGCGCCTTGACCCTCAACCAGCAGTTTCCAGCACGGGCTCAAAAGAGCTTAACCGAAGGTCGGGGGAAGCTTCGAGCGCTAATACCAGAGTTAGAGGTCGCTGGGGCTTCCATTCTCCTCGCCTGGTCACTACCCCCAGCCCCCCCCCCTACACACACACGGTTGAAAGGCGGGACCAAAGAGCCAAAGCTCAACCCATGCAAGCACAACTAGATGAGTACACACACATGTATGTGTGGGGACAGCACTCTGGGGTCGTAGTTCTATGGGTTCGATCCCCAGCAGAAGCAGAAACAAATGGGCAGATTTTATTTCACCTTGGTGCATCTGTTCATCTAGCAATACATTTGTACCTGGGAGTTAGACAGCTGCTACGGCCTGCTTTCTGAGGGTGTATCTGCGTTCGTGTGTTAGAGAGAAATATATGTAGTAGACATAATAGAGGAAAAATAGACGGATAGAAAGGCGAGGTCCAATAGCTAATAAATAGCTAGATTCTGCAGAGAAATAGTAAATACAGATAGTGAATACACACAGACACACAGACACACAGACACACACACACACACACACACACACACACACACACACACACACACACACACACACACACACACACCAACCAACCACTACTAAAACACCCCAACATCACCACTTCTAGTATGACCATCTCAAACACACTCCACTAATCTACCAATATGTGCGGATTTTGCACCTGGGAATCGTAGAGCTTTGGTGTGTCTTTGATGCAACCTGCAGCAGCGTTGCTTGTGTTGAAGCAGACTTGTTTGATCTTCAACAGCACCGCTGAATCTGCGATATTCCCGGCTAGATCTGTAGTAGCCCTGCTAGAGCTGTGTTAGCCTTGCTAGGGCTGTAGCCCTATTAAAGCTATGTAGTCTAAATAGAGCTGCCGTAGCCTTGTTAGGTCTGCGGAAGCCGTAGTAGAGCTGATGTAGCCCGGCTATAAATGTAGCAGAGCTGTTAGAGCCCAGATACAGTCCACGTAGCCCTGATGAAGCTTCGACAGCCCCTAGAGTTTTAATTAACAAAAATTAATTATATTTTTTTGGGGGGGGAAGAAAGAGATGTATAGAGTTGGTCAAGTTCTGTGACATGTTGTGTGAGGCAAGTTGAGGAAGAGAGATGTAGGGTGTGGCTGGCTTGTTGATAACCTGACAACACTGATATTGTAACAGTTGTTGAGGAGACTTGAGTAGAGACTTCGGATTTA